GCCTCGATCTGTCTGCAAAATCCATCTCGATGAGCACGACTGTAAGACGAGCGCATTGCTATGACAGTTACATAAACCAAAGCCACCCAGCCGGGAAAGCAACCAAAGGACTTGAAAAGTACAACAAAACCGCTCCACCATTAGCATTAGCACAAAGACTAACTATACACATAAGTACCGCTTGCTTTGTTAGCATGAACTGTTCCATGGGTGTTAAATTGTCAGTCCATGATGGATTACTTAAGCTCCAACAGCGCCGTCCCTGATGTGAGCGCTGACGGCGTTGATGTCACTATGAATAGTTTGTTCTTTGCACAAAAGCATTTGATGTTGGACCGTAAAGCCGTCATGTCGGGGAGGTGACAGTAAAACAAGCATGCACATTAACGCTGACACTGCTGGGACGAAGAATCTGGAATAATAGTGCAGAGAAGGGCAGTCGGCTTTCAAACATACACACACACTCAGCGGCCACGTACACGGGGTGCTTTTCAATCGTGTTTATTCACCACGGTTATTGCTCCAATGCGCAAATTACCTGGTGTGAACTAGTCTCTTAATGCTTGACTTGTTGCTTTAAAAAGCACATCTAAGTGGCACTTGAAGATGATTCTTGTTGGTGCGTCTGTAGTGGGATTGTCAGCGAGACAGTTTCCTTTGAAAGAATATTCGACTGGTTATATCGCTTCAATATTTGTATAAAAGCGTATCGGCTTTTTTTGGTGTCTCAAATCTTAAAAAATCTAAATGAAAAAATAGTCACCTGATGGCAAAAATGGCCAAAATGCAACTTTTCTTTTGAGCTTCTTTTCTTTCCTTCTCCAAGAATAGCTTGCAGGCACATGTAGTGAGCCTGAGGATAAACCAGCAAAACCCAGGAACACGTAGTAGCAGCCACATGATCTATGTCCATCAGAAGCTGCATATTTTACTAGAGTCAAAGTGACTATTGCATAAAAGATTAGCGTTGGCCACGAACAAGATCGACCTCTACCATCTAAACTGTAACAGGGTTTACTGTAATCTACTTTATAGCAATACTGAAGGCCTTTGACCTCTCCAATCTAGTTGCTGCATTTCCATCCACCTTTTTTTAATGCGAATAGAAACATGACGCACCAAAAGAGAGAGTAGGGTAATCTTTTTATCCAATACGATAAGATAAACTACGATGGAAACACAGAATAAATCCCAATGTATGGCGAATGTTGTTTTGGTCATTCTAGAAAGTCTGTCATCAAAGTGGTCAGAACTCTCTCGACCGGCTGCCTTCCACAAGAGCCGCCTCTAAAAGCAAGATGACATTAATGTGATGATTTTGTTCTCTTGGACTCGTTTACATAAACTTAATTAGCATCTTTGGATGGAAACATGGCTATGGGTTCCACTCCAGCAAAGAGTTGAGCTGGACTTATAAATACGTCACAAAAGCTTGGAGTAATAAGCTGGGCAGACTCCACATGTACCTCCAAACTCCAAAGCAGAGCCAAAGTGAACTTGGAACATTCTTCATAATCTGCATTTGCACAGGACTCCACGTCTCATGAGCCCTTTGGCTTTGCAGATCAAACCTGTATTCTCAGGGGATATGTTTAAGACCAGTTTAAAAGAAAATTTGGTCTTCAAGCAGCGATTAGCCCACTGGAGCGTGGTTGCTTTCTAGCTAGCTTCAACGAGAAGACACGCCCTTCCCTGTTAAATGACAGCCCACCCCATGAAACCCAGCTTGGGAGTGCTCCCTCACCAATAAATGTGAGAGTTCTTTTTAAAGAGCTCAGACTACTCCGTGGTGCTAAGTGGCGGCAACTACCCTGTTTTTACAGCTTTTCCGTAAGATAGTTTTGCCTCAGAGCTAAGGGTTCAGATTCGTTGGTCCCTTCCCTTAGGCGCCCCCTTTCTGTGTCTGTATGCTATCCCGTTACGTTCTCGCGTAAGGGGGAGAACCATGGGTCTTCCGCATTAAATTGCCCTTTGTAAGATGGCGGATCCGTTCTCATATCAGTCGGTTTCCCGTAATATATCTCCATTCCCTCCTTTAAGAAAACAGGGGGGGGGGTTACGAAAGTAACCTAGACGTTTCATGGTGCCATTGTGTGTACTGCGGTATTTCTTTTTTAAATCAAGTGGCCAAATTGCACGTTCCACTAGTTGATTGGCGAAATATGAGTGAAAAACACCCCGATACTTTTGAGCCTTCACTCAAACATCATTCAAAAGACAGACACTCTGCGAACGACATCACATTTGGTCTCTACAGTGTATCTCCATGTTCTGGATGTTCAACAATCCACTTTGGGTTGTCTCTTTTCCTCCTCTAGTCTTTTTTTTCTTTGTGCCATAAGCAAACGTACAAAACCCCCTTCCAGGTAGAGAATCCCTAACCTCTTTATCCTTCAGCATATCTTCCATCATTTTGATGACGCTGTATCTTTGTTGTCCCTGCAGAGCCGTGTTGGCACAAAGTGATGATAAAAGGTCTTGAACTGCAATATCTCTCTACAGCTTTATTTACAGCTGGTGTGTGTTGTAGAAATGATTAGATATTGAGTTTTCTGGAATCTCATTATTGACTTATGGCACCAAACTTCATGATTATCGTTGACTATTTATGGTTTAATAGCTTATGCCTCCAAAGAATGCAAGCAGAATACATTCTGAGCTCCATCCCGTCATCTCAGTGTCAGTAGAGGTGGCAGTAGCTTGTTCATGTTGAGGACGAGGGTTTTAGACAGTGACTGAAGTCTCGTCCTGGCAGGAGGCTCGGCGAGTCTTGGGGCTGCAGCGGGTCAGCATGGAAATCTGTGTGCTGAAGTTGTTGCCGTTGCTGCCCATGGATGGGTGTTGGTATTTGGTGTCAGGACCCAGAAATCGCTCGAGGTGCCACCTCCTCCATTTCCTCTTGATTTCAGCTTGTACCTGAGAAGCAGATAAGATCCTGTCGTTTGGTGAAGGTGTTGTCGTGTTGGAAATTTGACGTATGTTTTAATCACAACATGACCACTCTCTGGAGTCAATTTCATCTGTTGTCTTTGTGACCCTTACAATTACAAAAGTTCACCTCAATGAGATCCTGAAATGAAATGTTTCTTTTTTGGTTCCAAAGTTCAACGGTGTTTAAATGTGTTTATATATAATTGACATTCGTAAAACTACAGTTGTAAATGACAAACTTTATTTTAACTGCGGGGAGACGTAAATACATAGCCATTTTCCACATTGCAAGTTCATCTGGGTCCCGTGCAAATTTCTGCAGTGCCTGCAATTTGTCTGGAATTATTCTCTAGCACAAATACAGTAGATTAGGAAAAAAAAATAAACCAGAATGTCGACATTTTATTTACTGTGGATTATGTCAGTGCTACCAACTATTAATTCCACAGCACTGAATAACTGATCTGAGAGGCAACATTGAGATCAGAGAGAGCCAAGACTGAGATTCACACCGATGCCTAGCTAAGATTTTACACACCTGTGCCTCTGAAAGTGAACAGAACTAAATGAGTGAGCGGACGCTTTCGTCAATATTACCTGCAAGGCACACTATGTCATTCTTGATTAAAATCTAGTCAAAGTTTGTCTTTAACAAGTTTCTCAATGTTTTTAGACCAAACGAATTGCATTAATCCGGTTTTTATGATTTGTCCGATGAGGCCTAGTAGGTTTTATTTATAATACTGTATTCTTAGAAAATAGACGTTTCTTAATTACTAGTATTTTTTGATAATAAAGTCTAAAGAAAAGCTATCTAGTCTTTTGACCTTGTGTTCGTTTGATGTGCAATAAATGTCCCAGTTGTACACTTTTTACATTATTAGAGAAATGTAACCATTTATTCCAATGGTTGGGTTGGTTTATTGTAAAACATGGTCAATTCATTGCAAATATATTATGCGATGACATCTAAAATATATCTGTGTGCAGCAAACCAGAATGCCAGATCACTCTGACCCTTTCATGTCGTCTCGCCAAGCAAAAACATGAATGCATAATTAAAGTAATGGGCCTCTTCTGCCAGGGTCTCTGGAGAAGTGACTTGTGCATCTTGACAAGTAAAATATAAACCCATTACATCGTCCCAGGTTTTCCGCTTCTAAACTTCAATATAGAGATTAGCTTTTAGTTATAGATTAGCCTAAACACTTAGTCTGTAGATGCGTCCAAGATCTTACCTCTCCATTTAGGAAACAGTAGAGCACAGCAACCACAAAACCCTGTTAAAACAAGTGGAAACAATTACTCTTAGACCGAATAAACCGTGTACCAAACACTCACCAAATGCTAAGCGGACAATTATTAAGTATTCAACTCATTTATTGGGTCAAATAAACCTCTTTTGAACCGAAACCACTGTTTCTATCGCCGTCTATATCTTTGTATCTCTGCAACTTCTCGTTGCTCTGGATGTGGCTCTCATTGGCTGCAGATAATCATAGACAGATATTTAAGAAGCATCTCATTAGCCTGTGACTCTCGTTGGTACTTCAATCTGTTTTAGTGTCACACACGTACACGAGCTCCGATTAGCATCTGATTCTGGGCATAAGCTTAAAATCGGAGCTAAAATCGTGCGTCTTAAACCGGCTTTAAATAGAAGTGATTTGTTTTCCAGAAATTGAATATCGACAGAAAAGCGATCACTTGTCCTCTTCTCTTTCTTCATGTATGCGACTCACACTGTGTGAATGGCTTCTGTGGCAGTTCGGCGAAACGCCATCTAGTGTTCAGGAGAGAGTCTGTGCACTCATTTTTAAAAACAAGAGAAAAACGCAGATAGCTGATGACGTAGCTGCTAAAGTGCAGTGCAGCAGACGCATAGGTGTGTGAAGGCCTCGGTTACATTGGTGCTGCTCCACCCGCGCCGTTGGCTAAATTTACTTATAGTTTTCAGAAAAAATTGTAATTTAATGGTCACTGCAAACTGGATATGGGCTTAACACTTGGAAATCAACTGGAAATCTTCAATATTATAGTAGACACAATGACTACTTTTTTGGAAGGTATTTCCTGTGGCTCAGTTGGTAGAGCATTGCGCTAACAACACACTGTGATTGTGGGTTCCAATCTTAGGGAAAGACAAAACTGACAAAAAAATATGTTCATTCATTTAAAATGGCTTTGGATAAAAGCGTCTGCCAAATGCCGCTTCAACACCATGTTCTCTCAGAATCTAGCTTCTAAACACTTCCTGTTATTGATATAGCTGATGCTACATAGTGATGTATCAAAGCACCTTTTGTTTTGAATAATTTCTTTAAACTACTGTACCTGAAACGACCCGAGGATGAGGTCAAACACGAGTCGTAGCTCAGTTTTTATGTTCTCTGGAATAAAGGCGAATATGATGAAGTTTATCCCAAAGAGTGGAATCAACAGAAGTGTGGATTTTGCCAGCCTCCTGTGGAAAAAAAGGAAGACAAACATGGTAAAATGGATGCTTTTCTGTCATTTATAACCTCCACACAGCGAGGTGTTTGTGATTACCAGGTTGTACTGAAAAGCGCAGTCCTGGAATAACAACATTAGTGACGCTCGGGTGAAAATTGCAGCTTCTTAAGAATTTATTCTAGTGTAGTACGCACTCCCGGTAGAAGGCTATTTAAGGACAAAGCCATTAAATCATGGGAATGGGGCGGAGAAAGCCAGTGACATTTCAGATGATGAGATTGCTTCTCAGTCATTGCTGGATGGACTGGAGAATTGCCCATACTTTATGCTTGTGTTAAAATTACATAAGCTAAGATGTTTCCCATGTACCTTTCATTCTACGCCCTGTAGAAGGACCAGAGCAGCTGTTTCAGATGCCGCCATCATGCGACTATAAGACATTTCTTGGGCGGGCAGCCTACCCTATGATTTAAAGACTAAACAAATCAAAAGAGAAAGCTTTAAAAATGAAAAGCTCATAACAATTTAGTATTGTTTACAGAGCATCCGGAAAGTATTCATAGTGTTACATAATGGTCGGCGAGAGAGACACAGGCACAGCAACATGTTTCAAAGCCGCTCTGGACATTTTTAAGTAAAAAGGGGCACCAAATAATTCACTCAGCATTCAGGTGGTGGTGAGGAGGCCAGATGAGCGCGGGCTCCGGGTAGCACGCAGGGAGGAAGTACCCTGCTCAGTCCCTTGGGTCTTAAGAGCTGGTCGGTTGAGCACCTCCTGGGCTCCATTGGCTCCCGGTGGCTCTCGAGGCATCCATCACTGCTCGCGGCGGAAGGGAAACAATAAATCCCGTGCTCCACCACAATCAGTATTCCCAGCCATTGCCGTGAAGCTCTAAGTTGAGCTCAGGTGCATTCGGTTTCACACTGATCATTCTTGAGATGTTTCAGGAGCTTCACTGGAGTTCATCTGGGGTTAATTCAGTTGATTGGACATGATTTGGAAAGGCATACACCTGTCTATATAACACCCCAGGGCTGACAGTGTGGAGCTCCGAGACAGGACTGATTTGCAAAAATCAAACCAAAGGATAAAAGTTAAAAACATAGAAAACTATTTTCAGTCAGTAATATCAAGTCAGTAAACTATATCTGACTTGATTTAATAACATTAACATTAGCACCTCTCCCCTGATGTGCACTTGGAGTTCCGAAAAGGAGTAAGCGGGTTTGAAAATGAGTGAACAAATGAGTTTGAATGCAATCTCCTGACAATTTGCCTAGTTTTAATCTGATCATTTGTGACGTAACAAGTTCAAATATTTTTTTTTTACTTTTTAAACAGCTTGAAATCACCTTTTTGTCTATTTTTAAGATCCATCAGCATTTGTTGTCAGCGAGACATTTTGGCTAATTTTAAGAAATCTTTCCAAGTCAAATTCGCTCTCGGCCCATTCACAGATTGTATTGCTTGATCTAGGAAGAGTTTCACTACATTTGAGTTTCTTTTCTAGTTCCATGGTGTTTTTACACTGCATGATCACAACATAACCAAGTGTCTGCTAACTAATGAGTAATCAAGTGTGATCATCACGATCATTAGCATACAACATCAAGATTATTAGCATACTGTAGCAAAACAGATTTTTTTAATCATTGTTTTTGTATTTTTTTTTTGTAAATATCAGTAGCCTAGAATACTTTAAAGCAATATACCCATATTATAAAAATTGCAGAGACTAAAAGTGCTATTCACAGGTCATTTTCTCCGTCAGTGAAGCACTTAAATCTCATTCACATCAGTCACGATGTGTCTCATACGGTTTCATCCTGACCAGAATCTCATTTTCTGTCAGGAAATATGGTTTGCAGCAAATGACAGAACTTTTCAATGAATGATCACTATTACTTGCATGGCCAGGGGTTAGAAATGTTAAATACAAATGTACAAGATACGTACGAATACTGGTTTGATTCATTTCTCCCAATGTCAGGGCAGTTGATCTTCTGTCGCAGAATCCGAATGATGCAAATGAACAGGATAAAGTTCATCTGTTGTTGGGAACAAAAATAACTTTAAGGGGTCAAACAGTTATAAAGTACAAAGGCAAACCTATTAGCAATGTTAGAGAAGGAAACTAGACGGCATTAACTCCATGTAGGCTAGACTGTGCACTTTCTGAATAGCATAACAAACTGGCGCTAAGCCTGTTTAAACAAGGAGACGTGCTTCAGTTTCTAGTCTA